AAAAAAAAAAAAAAAAAAAAAACAAAGAAAAGATCAACAAAAAGTAGAGTCTCATGTGACATGCAGTGATTCTGAAAGAGTTGGGGAAGTCAACCAAAATATAAATGGAGGGTGTGGTAGCTGATTTTGGTTATCAACTTGACGCATTGACGCATCTGAAAAGGGGGACCCTCTACTGAGGACTTGTTTTCATCACACTGGCCCGTGGGTGTCTCTGTGGGACATTTTCTTGATTGCTAATTACTGTAGCATGGCTCAGTCCAGTCTGGACAGTACCATTCCTAGGCATGTGAGCCTGGGCTGTACAAGAAAGGTAGCTAAACCTTGTTCTGGGCCTGGGAATAAGCCAGGAAGTAGCTTCACTCCGGAGGTTTCTGCCTCAAGTACCTGCCTTGGCTTCTCTTGGTAATAGATTACAGAGTCCTATAAGCTAAAATAAGCCCTTTCCTCCCCAGGTTGTTTTTGGTCATTGTGTTTATCACAGCAACAGGGAGCAAAACAGAACAGAAGCTTAATATAAAGATATAGATGGAAATAAGAAGAAATCATGGGTTGTGTTTTAATCTCTGACAAGGTACCATTTGGAGACAGAAAACATCAAACAACCACAATGGACTCAGTGGTTCCAAAGGCTACATGTCACATAGCAATTGCCTCTAGATTAAAATGTTCCATCCTGGAGAAGGTCAGCAACTCACAAGTCTCATAAAGTTCCTTAAACTTGCAAGACTCAGAAGGCCTGTCCCAGAGGTTCTATAAACAGTTACTGTTGCTAAAAGAAGAGACTTTTAAGCCAGCAGAGTTCCCTGTGAGACACAGAGGGAGCCCAGATATGCAGATTTCATCATTTATGTTGCAATGAGTGTTTTGGTAACATGTTATGCATGTTCTAGAAAGTAACCTCTCACACTCATGTAAGCAACTCCCCAAAACTCACTAGCTGATTAAATTAGACTTGGGTGGAATTTTTTATTGGATCTGACATTAGTTTACATCTCTCCAGGAAAAGTCACAAGCCACCAAGATTCTTTTTTTCCCCCCGAGACAGGGTTTCTCTGTTTGTAGCCCTGGCTACCCTGGAACTCTGGCTATAGACCAGGCTGGCCTCTAATTTATAGAGATCCACCTGCCTCTGCCTCCCAAGTGCTGGGACCAAAGGCGTGCACCATCACGTCCTGGTTGCCACTAAGATTTTTAATGAATAAACAGCCTCAGTTACAAATGTCTATTCACTGCATTCATTTTTGTAACATAGAAATACAGGATGTGCAAGAAAAAGAGACAAGTGCACCATTGAGAGTTCACATGTGAAATGGAGAAAAAGATAAACTTGACAATGTAAATCTTGTAGCTATATAATAAAATTTGTACTTGATATAGAGAATGTATATATTCACAGTCACAGAACATCTGTGACCACTCACCATAGTGAGGAGGAAAAAATATCACAGAAAATCCCACAAAGTGGAAGCAGAATCATGAGAAGGAAGCCCAGGCTGAAGTCTCCT